CCTAAGGCACTCATCCAAGCAATGCTCCAGGGCTTAGTAGCAGTGACTGCAACCTTGACAATCCTGAGCACTTTACCTGGAAGCTTTTTGAAATGCTTTTAGAAAAGTGGGAAGAATAGATTTAATTGGCACCAGAAGGACCTGGGAGGTAGGTATCCCACTGAATTCGGAGAGCCAAGGGATGGAAGGAGGCATCCCATTTGATTGTCTGCAGATGTGCCTCGTGGAAAATGCCTTGATCACTTTCCAAAGCTCATGTTGGAAACACCTTCTGGGCAGGGACCAGAAGGATGTCCTCCTGTTCCCCCTCCCTAATGAGGCTGCCCTGTCTTGTTCTGATGACAGGAAATTCTTGGCTGCCTGGGTAGCAGATGTCCATCTTGGATTTAGACAAGCTTGAAAGGTCACTGTAGGATTTAGGTTTTCTTGGAAGGCTCCTAGGTAATTTGCCTACCAAAAGTTACTGACAATGGAGGGCTTTTTTGCAGGACAATGGCTAAGAAGATATCTTTTGACAGACTCAATGAGAGGCACGTTTCCAGCAACTTAAGCCTGATTCCAGCACCTGGTTTTAAGTTATTCCAAGATCCTTTCTCAGGTGGCTTCTAGATGAATACAGGACACTTGTTACATGAGGAACAAAGCCTTGTGCCACACACGGACTCCAACCAGTGTGAACAGGAAGGACAGAATAGGAAGAGGCTGGTAATCTTTCAACGAGTAAAAGTGAAAAAAATGGTAATTGCTAGCACTTGCCATACTTCCCAACTGTTGGTAACTTATATGCACACTAATATCCATATGCCGAAGTGCATCTAGAACCTAGCCCAAGACAGATCAGTCCTTGGGGGATGGAGTCTAACTGGTGGTGATGACAGTGGTGCCCATGCACCATCATACCTTCCTGTTGTTCTTTCTGTAGTCCAATTTCAAGGGAAAATACTCCTGATATTTCAGTCCAAACTCTTTTTATAATGTTAGCTTTGCAGTCACATATGCACTGCTCTATCAACTAAAATACCGCTTGTGAGACAGACTTGGCTTTTTAACAATTTGGCAACCTGTTCATGTAGTACAGGTTTATTTCTGCTGTTTTGCTTAGCTATGGTGAGGCAGCATCAGAGGCTGCTGCTGTCGAGGGGGTCACGGTCACTGGCTGCCACGGAGCCAAAGGAGTTCTCCATACCACAATGAGACTTTGAGTCCTACTTTTAATGGGTACATTCTCTGTTTACCATCCACAAGTGCTAAGAGCCAAGGTGTCGTGGTCTATACAACAGTCAAGATTTTTTTTTCTTTTAACAGAATTAGAACATTTGGTACTTTCTTTGTATCTTGTCTCCTAGAAACTCACTTCCCTAGAACCTCTTTTCCTAAAAACACTCAAAGCCAGGAAGTTCCCATGTCTTCTGCTTGCCAGACTAGGAGTAATGGTGAGCTCTATAGCCTAGAGGCTGTTTCCAGCAAGGAGGAAAGGTTTACATGCCAGGGAAATGGAGAGGACAGCAGTTTTAGCTTGTGCCCCAGGATCTGCAGCTAGAGGAAGCTGGCCGTACAGCTCCTGAATGCCCCACTCCAAACCCATGGAGGCAAATGCTTGAGCTTTTGACCTGCTAGTATATACATTAATAAGCACTGGGTAAAACTTTTTGCCCAGGTTCACAAGCTGTGTTATGAGCACCACTGGGTAAATACATTCAAACAAGACTTTTATAAGCAGAGCAGGGGACAAGGAATATTGAGTTGAGACAGGACAAGTGCAGGAAGGATGCCATGTGGATTTGAGACTCATGTTTTGCCCAGGAGTACTCCATGTATGGGTGCACCAGCAGCACCAGAAGTGTATTAAGGGATCTTAAGAGAAATATGAGAACACTATGGCACAGGGACTCCTTTCTAGAGTGTTCCTCAGAAGCAACTGAAGACAGTGTATATGATGCCATGATGTCTGCAAGACTCTGCCTCCATGCAAGAAGATGTGTCAGTTTTACAGCCTTATAAAATGACTCCTAATTTAGGAGACCATGTTGCTAGTAATGGAATAGCACTCCCAAGGAGGCCCATGTCTCCCTACTGCAACCCGCATTCATTTCCTTAAGTGTCCTGGTCACGCAGTCTTACCTAGACACATCTTTAGCTGCCTTGCTCACAGCTGTGCCCTAATCTTAACCATACACACAAAAAGGCACTAAATTGTATCATCTGGGTCAGACAAGATAACAGACAACGTTGGGTGTGACACACACTGAAAATGCCACTTCTCATGACCCATATAAAAACACATCAAATAAAACAGGTGGCAAAATGGAACTCTGCCTGTGAAATGGCCTGTGAATTACTAGCAAATTATTTTTACTTCCAAAACTGTATGGCCCAGAAATCAAACAATTAAGCCAGGGATAAGAAATAAGAGATGTACTGTATATTTCTTCAATACTTCTAGAGAGGAAGGGGTTAAAAACGGCTGACTCGGGAAACCTTTACTATCGATTTACTAATCTTCATTAGCGGCATCTCCTATTGGTCTTGTTCCTTCAAAATTAAATGCCTTTTTTATAGGAATCTACCTTGAAAGAGACTCAAATCTTCAATGCAAAGTGGGGCATTCTAGAACATGTTTCTGAAATCACAACAGCTTATTAAAGACCGATTAATTAGACAGCATTAATTGTGGTGTGAGGGAGAGTCTGGACAATCATGTTTAGCTTTGGTCCTTCACCATTGTTTTGAAAAATGCAACTGTTAAATATTTTGAGAACAATTTCTGAGTGTCATTTAAAAGAATTAAAAAAGCTACTATTGATCACTCATTTCTTCCTCTTAGTTTGAGTTTACATCGTTATTTGATCCATTTTTTGTAGGTTAGAACAATTTATAGCTCTTCATACATTTTCATTTCAGGTCACTTGCCATCTTTGAGAGCCAGTGTTGTTACCTCTGCTGAAGGAGAGAACATAAATCAACGACACTGAAAGGTTCAAACACCACAGCACAAGCACACACGTATCCATTCAGTGCTCAAAAGTCAGCCTTTTAAAATGGTTACAATAAAACAAAAAACACAGTACCTGCACACTGTTCTTATTAAATACATTTGCTAGGTCTTCATGTAATATTTAAGTGTATTTTCTCTGTAAAAAAAAAGAAATTCAAGTCTCAGCATGCACCAACTCTTTTGATTTGCCAAGTGATATTTATTGGATAAATTGCATTAGCACACCATGTTTTCACTGTAATTCTGCTTCATTCTTAACCACCCCCTCCTGCTCTAACCACGCACGGATCTCACACTCACTGCAAACAAGGGAAAAAGGCACATTTGTAATCAGGATCTTCTAAGACAGAGATGTGTTTGGAATTATTTTAGGGTAACTCCAGACAGCAGCAAAATAAATGTCAGAAATAAGTCAAAGTTTCAAAGTGGAGATGCTCTATTTTCAGCTGAGCTTCAAATCTGCAAACTAATCTTTTGCTTAAAAATAAGCATGTAAGTTAGGCATGCTGAAATCAGGGCTAAACAGGCACATGCTTGCAGGATTAGGCCCACAAACTCCACACTTGCAATAAGATCTTTGTTTTAAACGATTTCTTTGTATCAATCAATTTTTTAAGAACAGACAACGTAGTTTACTACCACACAATAAATGCAGCTCTTTGGTAGTAAAGAGTGCATTTCGTAAGAATTTTTAAGTGCATGGATTTAAACACGTTGCTGGACCAAACAAGTCAAGTAAAAGTTGTCAAAACTGGGAAGGCATGGTTAGCAAAAGAAAAAAACCCTGAACTTCACAGAAGTCATCACATTTAAGTTTGTTTTCACACTTGGAGAAATTAGTCAGCTTTTTGGTATGTATGAAAGACACAGAATACCCTTTCCTAAAATAAGCATTTATTCAGAGAAGGGATTTACCAAAAAAAAAAAAAAACCAACGAAAAAGCTTTCTGATGGAAAAAAAGGTCTTTCAATAAATTTAGTAACACACCTAAACCCTTCATCAAGAATGGTTGTAATGGGACACGTACATTTATTAATATACATCAAAAGCAAAGAGAAAATAACCATTATCACATTGCAATATATTTCCAAGATTGAAGACCCGAAGTTTGTACCTCGGTAAGGCTCAGGCTCTACAAAATTGCAGATATGTAATTTTACCCCCCAGCAGTGACTCCACTGAAGTTATTGTCTCTTTCCAGGGTGACCCTCTGCCTCCTTTAAAAAAAAAAAAAAAAAAAAAAAAAAAAAGGAAAGAAAGAAATGGAGTAATATTTCAGGAATGGAGTAATATTTCAGGGACAGTTTGCCATGGCTATTACACACCAACCATGTTTTCTCAAGATAAATAATGGGCAATGAAGGACAGCAGAGGAGAGGAGAAGAGAGGAGACACATAAGTTCCGAAAAATCATAAAATATATTTAATTATAATTTTGGAAAAACACTCTTAAAAGCACAACACCAAAACCAAATTAACCTCCATGACCCTGAAATGCAACAACATTTTCATAATTTCAATACGGGTGAATATCTGCAAAGACCATTGCTGCTATGAAACCTCCCCCCATCCCTGAAACTGCACTTTTTAAAGTAGAAAAGGCAAGAGAAAATGCATGGACAGAAACCCACCCCTCCTCCAACCCCTTCTTTCTTCTGTGGCTCACTAAAGCAGAAGCAGGATTTTCATAATTTGTCCTGGCTGAAATATTAATTTCACCCACATTCAAAAGCCTTGTTCAAGCCACCGACACAGACAACGGCCAGCATGGAAACCTCCACTCGGTGAAGAGGACAACCCCACTGAAGCCCTTCATTGCCACGGAGTTGATGCAAGCAGCTGAGCCACCCATGGGCACAGTAAGGGCTGGATGGCGGGCACCCCCCAGGCGCCAACAAACGGAGACCAGAAACGGTTCTCGTGCCCAACAGATGCTCCCCAGGTGCCTGCTGAGCACCTCACCTGCAGCATTGCTGGGAGGAGAAGGGCCGCATCCTGCGCTCAATGCTGCGCCGGCTGAACACCTCCCCTGCAGCATTGCTGGGAGGAGAAGGGCCGCATCCTGCGCTCAATGCCCAGCGATTGCTGGGCTTGCGTGCAGTCTGCTGCGCCACCACGTAAGCAGGGACTGGGGCTCTTGCAGAAAATGTCGAGACTGCTCCGCTTCGTTTAAAGACAGATGTTTGAGAGTGCATTTCTGAAACTGAGCCTTCTCCTCGGTGAACTGAACTAGCACCCCTCTTCCTCCCTGCAATCAAATCTCAATTACAATAATTTGACGGCAAGAAGAAAAGCTTTAACAGGAGGGGCAGTGAGAGCCCAGAAGGTGGTGGCAAGGGGCTGTTTCTTGTGCCTCGGGTTGAGCATGCTGATCCACAGGCTGGAAGCCCATAGGGGTACCAGCCTCCTCATGCTGCCGGACCAGCATGGGCAAAGCCTGACTTACGCATCAGGCTCTGGGATAGATTCATGGCTGGGAACGTGGGTACTGCCCTTGGCAGCCAGGAGTGAGGAGCCTGATTCCCACTACTACTGCCTTACACCACACCATCTCGTCAACATTTCTTAGGAAACTCCCCCTTCCCACTGGGGGTTTATCAAAATCCCTTTATTTGGCATGTTTCTCTTCATAAAATCTTTATTGGCATCTTCCTGTACTACAAGACAGGAAGATAAAATAATTACCGCTTTCTGTTGAAGGAACAAGCTTTTCCACAGCTTGATAACAAAAATTTCCTGTGAGCTTCCCACGCTTCCACAAGTCTTATCTTCATAGTTTTCCAGAAATATTTTTTTTCTTTCCTAAGCTCCATTGGGAAAATTACCTTGAATTCTCACAAAAAAAAAGGAGGCATATATACATTACATTTGAGTGAATGTAAGATATAATTCTGCATTAAAAAACAGTGTATCAGTCAGTTCATGTTTTTTCCAGCACACACCCCAATGACACGACAAATGACTTGTGCAGAAAAAGTAGCAACGGTAATTCAACAAAATGGGTGTTCTGGTGCAATGACAAAATTAGATCCCTTGGTCTTCCTTAAATATCACAGATTAGAACTTCCCAGACCTGAGTATCAGTGGGAGTTTTGGGGGCACAGTAAAATTAACTCTGAATCCCAGTTAAGCAGAGATCCTTTTGTGGTTTGGGTTTTTTTTGGAGGGTGGAGTATGAGGGAATATGTCTCTTCTTCTCCCTGTCCCCCATAGTTAGATGAGAATAATTTAAGTACCAGACATATTTATTCTTAAAAATAAGAACATCAATAACAGTAGCCACACTTTCCTGAGTTCCATTAGGTTGTGACGAATGCAGCACGTATGTTTTACTCCAAAATAAAATAAAAAATGTCTAACTTTTCAACTAATTTTATCCAATAATACAATCATTCAGTAATGGTACTGTAAGTTTGCAAGCAGCCTAAAGTCAAATCTAAAGTCATGAGCAAAAGATCTTTTCAAGCTGACAAGCAACAGCTGCAGAAAGACAGCAACATTCCCAGAAGTACTTCGTCTTTTGAGAACTGAAGCTTAACAAGAAATCATGTGCTTTGCAATCATGGAGCTACCCAGGAATATTGGTATTCTGGTGGAGGTTAATACATAATTCCGAAATAGCTGCTTTTCTAAGAATAAATTTGACCAGGTCAGGAGACAATTGGATCTCTAAATTTAAACTTGTTTAAAGAAACTATCCTCGGAAAATGTACTGAACAGAATCATGGAATATGTTCATCCATGAACAGATAAAATCACTGGTGCCTTTCAGTTGTTAGCTATGCATTTTGCAGTACCTTCTCTTATGGTTTTAAGTTATTTTTGAAAGCATGCTGCACACACTGAGAAAACTGCACACATTTGCACAAATGCCCCGCATTAGACTACATCTTTCCAGAAGTCACTTATTTGTAATTTTACTTAGTCAAATTATTTACACAGTAAAGCTAATATATCTCTTATTAAAACAGACAGACCTATAAATTGTCAAGCTACTAAAGAGAAGCGGGACACCTAACGCCTGGGAAATTCTACAGAAATATTTCAGTTTTATTCTCTCCCCGAAGGGTTTACCCACAGCCACAGTCAAGCCGCAGCTTAATTCAACTGCAGAGGGAGAGCTCCCTGTTCACAGCGCAGCACCAACTGCGTTTTGCAAAATAGGTAAACCAGTATCAGTCATTTAGACTAGATAAGTCTCAGATGGGATCAATTTTTATACCTTTAAGACTCCTTTCATGAGTTCTTGATTAAAATGGGCTGTTAAGATGATATTTATATAATCAGTCTTAAATTCTTTCTTTTACTATTTCAACTGGTTGGTATTCTTTCTTTAAAAAATAGACAATTACATCTGCCGAACATAGCCTTCTGAAGACATGCATTTGATTTTTCTGCAGGTAATTTTTTCAGAAAAAATCCTTGCTAAATCACTAAAAGAAGTACTTTGAAAACAAAGTGCATATAATGATCCAAAATATTTTAAAAAGCACATAAAAGTTACAGTCAAAGCTTGAATGTTGAAGCACGCTCCACACACAAATACATCAAATAACATCTCTATCGTAAGTGTATGCCACAGTCCAGGGTTAGGTCACATAACAGGGATTGATTGGGATCTAAATACAAGATTAGGGCCAAAATACAGATCGCACCATCGATTTGTCACTTTGACTAAAGAAAAAGTTCCACATATATTCAATGGACAGACTCTCCATCTTCTTAAAAAACAGCAGACAAGACCCTGCCACTACCAAAGAAAAGAGCAAAACTCCTATTAACGCTCCAGCATCACCTTTCAGAGTCATGTTCCCATTAACACGTAAAGCTACTACACCGACTTCTTCAACCACTCACACTATTTTTAGAAAATTTAAATCAAAGCAATTATTAGTCTTCCTGATGTTTCAGCCAGAAAACCAGCATAACCCAAACAGCTGAAGTTTTCCTTTATATTTTACACTCTGACAATTTACTAGCGTCTGCATAAAATACCTCATTTTGTGAGCACACATGTACTGTCATAACAAATTGGAAGAACTACTTGCCTAGAAGGAAAGTTGATCTTGTGGATATTGTTTTGCACGACTGGAGCTTTATAGTGCAGCTTTTTCAAAACCTCTGAGTTTTGAAAGTGCCAGTCTCTAAGTGCCCGACCCTAGAAACAGCTAGTCATAAACTGGCTTGCATTACACCGGGTACTGTGCCCCACAAAAAGAAGAGTACCGTGGCATTCTCTGACCTGCACACACCAGCAAATTCAAATGTGCATGGAGGGATGTTTTCAGACAATATTTGGCAGAAGAGGGAAAAGAAGACAATAAATGATAAAAAGAGTGACAACTTAAGACACATCTAAGAACTAGATGATGTAGCTATTAGTGAGGTAAAATCCTTGTCCAAATTCAAGATCTGAACCATCCGTCACATCCAGCCTGGCACACATTAAGGGAACAAGCAAGGACAAGTGCTTGCTCTTTGTATGGAGCTGTGTTGATATCGATCACTGTCCCCTGCCCAAACAGTACGGTAGTGATGTGAAATTATTACTAAAGTCAACCTGCTCAAAGCTGAAGGGGTGGTAAACAACCTCACTCTTGAATCTTGTCAGAATACTTCTGAAGAATGATTGATTAATTTTTTTTTCCCAAGAAAAACTCGTGAGAAATGTATACCCAATCCAAAGCAGAGTGTAGCCCAGAGGCAAATAAAGAGGGCTAAGTGCCTCCTCGTACGTGAATGCAGTGGCATAATTCCAGTCCGAGAGAACGGGAGGAAACCATCCTGAGCAGTCTACACCTTAGCCAATCCCATATATTTGCTCCTTGATATTCACACCCCAATAATCTATCTGCCCTTAGACAAGCACCCTTATGAGAAGGGAGAGGAGTTATGGAATCAGCTCTCCGTGCTCATGTGGAGCAGGAAAAGTGATGTAGAACTCAAAACTCAGAAAGCGTGATGGGGAGGAGATGTGAAGGGGATGCTACGAAGACACTTCATACCCTATTTTATTCCAAGCCTTTTCATCTGCACCAAAGCATCGATTTTTGCATTCTGAATTTACCTAAAAAGCCACATCTGGCTACAGCTCTGTCTTTTAGAACTTGAGCTTCTTCTACACTAAAACACCTTCCTGAACCATTCACTGTCTTTCTTAATCCTCCCAGATTTCTCAAGATGAGCTATCGGGGGGGGTGGGCGAAGTCCGCAGAACATCATCGCTTGCGCTTCTGACCTGGTGCCAGCAGCCCGGGGTAACCCTCCACCGGAGACGGAGCCCTCCTGGCAGTCCCGCCTCCCGCGACCCACCCAGGGACGGCGGAGCGAGCGATAGGGCACTGCGGGGCGGCTCAGAAACCAAGTCTCTCTCCTCCAAAAGAGCGACTCCAGGACACGCTTGGGTGTTGTTTTTTTTTTTTTTTCCCCCAACCTCTTTTTTTTTTTTTTTCTTTTTAAGGATTTCCTCCCCGCGGATGAGCGGCTCTTTCCACGCGGACTGCCAAGATCCATCCTTCCCTCCCTGGCCGCGCACACGGCACTGGGCGTGTAGCCGGGGCTCTATGTAACCCCCGCCGGCCCGGC